TATTTTGGGACTTTGCACAAGTGAAGACTTTTGGAAAAATTATCTCAAAAAATACTGAAAGGCCAGCTGGATATGCGAAAAAAATTGCATTGTATTGCACTTTGTTTACTCTATCTGGCTGTTATCAAAGCTTTCCCAAAAGTCAAAAAAGAAGATTGTGAAAAATTGCCAAAGTTGGACATGGTAAAAACCATGGGTTCAAAATTTCGGCCATCATCTCAGTGATCACAAGAGTAAGCGACATGGGAGTACGACTGCTAGAAAGAGGAAGAAAAACTGCGTCGTATGGTGTCCAAAGCGTTTCCCTACCTTCATTCCACGTCTTCTTATGATGGGTTGGAAAAACGGAAAAAACTTTTGGACCGACCTAATATATAAGATTCGAAAATGAAGATTTTCGAATATTCGTTTATCGAATATATTCGAAAATTAAAAATTTCGAATATTCGACTTTTGAATTTTATTCGAAATCTCAGATTTTCGAATATTCGACTTTCGAATTTTATTCGAAATCTCAGATTTTCGAATATTCGACTTTCGAATTTTACTCGAAATCTCAGATTTTCGAATATTCGTTTATCGAATATATTCGAAAATTAAAAATTTCGAATATTCGACTTTCGAATTTTATTCGAAATCTCAGATTTTCGAATATTCGACTTTCGAATTTTATTCGAAATCTCAGATTTTCGAATATTCGACTTTCGAATTTTATTCGAAATCTCAGATTTTCGGATATTCGACTTTTCGAATCATTCGAATTCGAATAATTAATTCTGATCGAACAATTATTCGATTGGGTCCCAAGTATATAGCGTACCCTAGGAACGAAGTTCCTGCGCGCCGGAAAAATTCATATTGGGGCATGGGCGCGCTTGCGCAGCCATGTATAGATTTGGGTACGTTTGCAGCAGCAGCTTGGTGGATGTACGCGCTATTCTTACAAAATTAGCTTTCAACTGCTCCCGACAGCTCTAGGGCAGAGATTTACAAGCAAAAAAGCTTTCCTTTTTTAGAGGTAACCAAGAAGTAGTACATTAAATAAACCAAGCATTTTAATTTATGCTAAATGAGAGATGTAAGCGTATCATATAGGGTGCTCCAAAAAATGTATCCAACATTGCTAATGCTTCCTTTTCTGAACAGCTTCCGCGCATCCATTATAGGGTTGGGTTCAACGTAGATTTAAAAAAAGTTAATCAATGCTTCCTTACTGTTGGACTACATAGAAATACCGCAATGTCGCTTTGCAAATTCCTGCCATACCACAAAAATTCCAAAAGTCAGAAAATTTTGCCATGTTATTTCTATACTCGCCGAGTTCAGCAAATGACTTTGCACTGTTCTCGAGCGATTTAGGTGGTGCCAACAGATTGTTGGCAACTATTGAGAAAACGCCTTCAAGGCGTGTTTGCCGCAATCAGCCTAGAATTTGGAATGAAGCGAGAAGCCCATGTGTGGGACAGTGTTTCCAGCTCTCGGACAACTTCGCCGGGTAATATTTGCTTTTGGTACGCAGAGCTCTTCCAAACTTTACTACCGTAATCCTATAGTGGGAAAATCAATGATCAGTTTCCATTGCAAACCCAGTAATTTACCCTACAATATAGTAAATATATCGCCCTGCGAAAGGTGCTCAAACGGGAGTTATTGCCGAATAAACGTTTGATACACAGTTTTTGGTATCCCCTGTATATGATACCTGTGTCGCTCCACATGGGCTCTATTCATCATGTAAAGTGGTGGACTTACGGTCAGCTACCCTCTGATTTGACTGGCATGGCTGGAAGGCGGGGCTTCGTGACCTAATTAAGGCTGGGTAGTGGTCAGAAAGCAAGCGCGCGGGTTAGAAGCAGACTGCGTCGCGGGCTTAATTGGGTCACAAAGCCCCGCCTTCCAGCCGTCAAGCTAGTCAAATCAGGGTTAACTTTTCCCTCAAAATTCTGCTGAACGAGACTGAACAAAATTTCCTTCCACCAGTTGAGCTGATAAAGACTGGACCGCAAACAAAATAGAATTTCAGTGAGTGAACGGACCTTCGCATGCTTTTAGGTACTGTAAATCTCGCGCTGCTATCTTGGCCCACGGATTTGCTTAACTGATATATCCCAGCAGCTTAGCCGCGAGGCTACGTGGGCCATTTCTTGGTGGCGAATAAAGGCTATCGCCGATTAAGAGCAACATCGTGCTTGCCGGGGAAGGCGTTTTTCGTTTGCAGCGGCCTTCCATCATGAGGTAGATATTGATCAAAGCAGATTGAGTCGCTGATTGCAGAACTGTCTTCGATAGCTGCAAAAACATATGTGAAGGTATAATTGTGGGCGTTTTTGAAAAAGTTTGCCTTGTTAAAGTGCTCTGCGGTTATAAACATTGATCGTTGTTGCGCATGTTGAGACCGAATTTCGTATTCGATTATCTCGAAACATTCGACTATTCGAATTATCTATCTTATCATTCGCTAGTTAAAATAGGGAAAGACAGTCGAATGTTCGTTTGTTGGGCCAGTCCAAAAATGGTCCACTCTGCACTCAAATATTCGAATGCACATACGAACATTTGGAAATAATATGAAAATTTTGTAATTTTCGTATGGATCGGATGCTGCATTAAGGTATTTTTGAAGAGATCATTACTGGTGAATGATAGCGATGACAGTATAAATAGCATATGCGCTCTTTTTTGAGGATCGGGCAGAGCTTGAGGAGACATTTATAATGCGCAATCCGCTCAAAGCGGGACGTTTTTTCTGATGCTCGCAGCAGTTTAATGCGATATTAAGCGCGCAGATCAATGTTTTGAGATCCACTCAGATAATTGCCGGGGGCAGGCGGACCGCAAACTCGCACTTTTCTGCAGGCGGTCGGCAGATAATCTCTTTTAGCGTGCGCTGGTTAAACTTTTAGCAAGCGCTAGGACTCTTTTGACGCAGTTTCGGGCATACACCGAGTAAAGATGACGACTCTGTGTGGCAGAGCTGTCATCGATGGTTTGATTACCAAGTTTGGGGCACCTACTCCCATCGGAAGGCACCCACGGGCTGCGCGGTCCCCCCCCCCCCCCCCAAAGAACCGCGGGGCCTCCAGTAACCCTGCACATCCTCGCGCGGAGCCGCGAGAATGCGGCCACTGCGCCGCAACCAATCCAAGAGAAAATCGCAATTGTTCTCCGAGCAATCGACTAAGAATTGGCCAACATTCTTCCAAATTTCTGCAAGCGGAGCGCGAAAAATCAAGGAATTATTTTTCCGGTGCCCGCTTGCCCAAACGTATGGGCGCCTCTCAGACAATCGCCGGGGCCAGGCGGGCACCGGAAAAATAGATTGCTAATTTCTCGCACCCCGCTCGCGAATTTTTCGCAAAGCAATCAGGACTTTTCGGAAGACCGCTTGCTGAGTCAGCGGATTTTTGAGAGACCGCCTGTTGAATTTTTTTTCGCTCTTATCTTTTGCAGATATATTGCTGAATCTCTGAAGAATCGAGAACTCAGCAAGCGTTCTCCCGAAAAGTCCTGATTGCTTTCCAAAAAATCCGCGAGCGAGGTGCGAGAGATCAGCAATATATTTTTCCGGTGCCCGCCTGCCCCCGGCGATTGTCTGAGCTGTCCCCGGCGGTTACCTGAGTTGCTGCCTACTCCCGGCAATTCCCTGAGCAAAGGAAGGAACACCGCTGTCCAAAGCGGTAGTTCTGCCAAAAGTTCATTAAAGAACCTTTTGCTTACTTAGGCTTATCTTTGTCATTGTGCAGCTTGGAAAGCGCGAAAATCTCAAAAACGGGCTTCCCGAGGCCCTTCATTCTTAGTTTGCGTACGAGGCGCAACCAGCCACCACAGGCAGAATCCATGTGTGCTGACTCTGTGGTATAACCGCGATATGCGCACTTTGGCTTGCAGTTCAAAACCGATGTACGGCGAACACGAGAGAAGAAACCGCAAAGGACGTCCACGTTCAACGCTTTTGAAGCAGTTTTCTCGCTTCAGAAGCAGATTGGGACGGTGTCACTGGTGCAAGAGGTTTAACAGGATTTTCAGCTCGCATCCTCAACTTTATGTATAAGGCATACCTCGCGCGATTTCGTCAAATCGCTACATCCACGCGACTTGGCAGTTTGCCAGGTATTTACAAATCAACCGTGCGAGGGTCTAAAATGCATAGACGCGTAGCCGTAAGCTTTAGCAAGAGCTTCAGGCCTGACCCTTGCAAAGCGCGCTTTTGACCCGTTATGAAAAGTCGCTGCAGTGTTGAATCGCGCATCGACTGGAATCGCGCAAGGTTTACCTTAGGCCTAACAAGGGAATGGTCAGAAGTCGAAGTGGCCAATCCATACAAGCTGCATACCGATCGATGCAGCATAGAATACTGATTTCAAATGTGTCTTCCGTATCTGCAGAGCGCCTTTGTGGGCGAAGTTATGAGCAGCTTTACTGCGGAAAAGTCGTCCACAAAAACTGTGAAATTAAGCAGATCACTGCTCTTTTAGCTCACCTTTAGGTACGAGCCATATGAACTGACCTAGTTACACGTTTTGGTCCAACACTGAGCCGAGAATGGCTTTGTACGGCCAAGTTTGACCTTTACACGCACAATTTCTTAGCAAAATGATGACATTTAATGGCTTATAACCTTGTCTACAAAAGCGCTCTGCAGATAAGGAAGACAGATCTGAAATCAGCACTCTATGCTGCATCAAATGGTATGGAGCTTGCTTGAATTGGCCGCTTCGATTTCTGACCATTCCCTTGTAAGCGGACTGATTACGGGATTCAAAAGTAAATTAGCACAGAACAATTTAATTTCTCTCATCAAATGTGTTTCGCGCATGTCGGGATTGTCACAATATCTCCAATTTTTTTTTCATGATTCTTAGTGAAACTATTGGTCTATTTCAAACTGCAAACTTTGAAAGGGAAACCCGATACTCAATTTAGCAATGGCACATCTTTGAATGTTTTTGTCCAAGACTGCTCAAGGGCTTTGTTAAATCTTGTTATAATTAACAACTCACTATCATCCACTTTGATGATACAACCCAAAGATTGGCTAACACAGCTAACATGAGCAGACACATGTCTTCGTGGTGAATTATCATTTGCCTGCCTGAAATGACGAACTTATTAGGTCGTCCCATAAGTTTGTAGCGTTTTCAGAAACTATCGAAATGAGAAAATTTTGTCAAAATTCAGTCGATATCGTGCTTGGTTTGTAGTGCACAACCCTCTGCCACCCTGCGGTAAAATTATTGATTTCGTTTTTCCAAAACACAGCGGTCAGATCCCAAAAAGATTGTCTAACCAGCGCTTAAGATTCAGAATCGGAACGAGCATCGGTCATATGATTCAAGAGAGTGGAACAAATGGTCATTTAGTAGGGCGAAGTCTACGGATTACATCGGATACTACGTCTCTCAGTCAAGTTTTGCAAAACAGTTTTAACGACGTCGTGCGTATTCCATTTTTTGTCATGCGAAAAAACTCACTGAACCTGCCTTTTGAGTCAATTTTGCAGGAAGGATTCGTTTAGACGCATAGGGTACACTCGCAAATGGGTTACGTACGGTATAAATGACTGTTTTGATTCTGACTAACAATTTCCACTGCGGAACCTCCTGTCCGTCCTGTAAACAGTCTGTTCAGGGACACCCGAAAATTCTTAATTTCTTTCAAGCAATCTAGTCCTTTTGTCTCAACTGACAGGAAAGCGCTTTCATAGCTTATAATAACGGGCTAAGGGTTGTTTACGTGTGTGTGTGTGTGTGTGTGTGTGTGTGTGTGTGTGTGTGTGTGTGTGTGTGTGTGTGTGTGTGTGTGTGTGTGTGTGTGTGTGTGTGTGTGTGTGTGTGTGTGTGTGTGTGTGTGTGTGTGTGTGTGTGTGTGTGTGTGTGTGTGTGTGTGTGTGTGTGTGTGTGTGTGTGTGTGTGTGTGTGTGTGTGTGTGTGTGTGTGTGTGTGTGTGTGTGTGTGTGTGTGTGTGTGTGTGTGTGTGTGTGTGTGTGTGTGTGTGTGTGTGTGTGTGTGTGTGTGTGTGTGTGTGTGTGTGTGTGTGTGTGTGTGTGTGTGTGTGTGTGTGTGTGTGTGTGTGTGTGTGTGTGTGTGTGTGTGTGTGTGTGTGTGTGTGTGTGTGACGAAATTCGTACCGCGAGTTCCAGCAAAGATCTTAGATTAGAATTTTGGTCATAGCACCCTATCAGCACGTAGGTACTTACTTACAAGGAAACCATACTTAGTGTCCGTATCCTTGACTGACTTCCGTTTTTGCTAATCGCTTCTCTGAAAAAAGTTATGATGATTTTCGCGCCAAAAGAGAGGTCGGAATGCCAAAACCTCCGCTAAGATGTGGTGTAGTGGCTAGTGTGATAGCTTCACAAGTTGATGCAGGTTTAGGTCAGAGTCCTTTTGTGTTTTCAGTTTTGCATTGCCTCAATCAAGCTTCCTTTTGATTTTTAGGCATCCTCGACCTATCTCTCTTAGGCGACCATTGACGCGAAAATCCTTTATGACTTCTTTGAGAAACGATTAGCAGAAACGGAAGTCAGATTCGGAATCAGCGTGAGTGTAATGATATGCGTTTCCTCTCAGAAGGCACGGACCAAGTATCGTTCCCTTGTTAGATAGGTACTTACTTACTGATACTTAGATGGCCCGACTTTACGTGGCGTGCAGGCCCCAGCACAAAAGTTTCCATTTTTCCCTGTCCCCTTCAGACATAACGGTCTTGTTGGTTGCCGTCGGTGGTTCCGTCCACGAGTTTCAGGCGCGAAAATCGTATCTACCTGATTACTCAGCTGGTCCATCCGTTCCCGAACACGTCTGCCCATCTCGTTGGTGGTCTTCCTTGGGGATGTTTGGCTTCGCGAGGAATCCACTCAGATGTTCTTAGTGTCCATCCATCGTCCGTTCTTTTTATGATGTAACCGGCTCGTCGGTGTTTCGCTTTCGCAACGTATTCCGCTGGGCCACGAAGGCGGCACAATTTTCTCATATCCGTACTGCGAAACCCGATAGATGTTGCTTGTGTCGGCTCATCTTCAGAAGTTTGCGCTCTAGCGCTTTGTGAGTGGTTTTTGAAGTTTTCGAGTGGCTACGGTGTCAGCTCAATTCTCAGCAGCGTAACAGAGCGCCGGGAGAAGGTTCAGTCGAACAGGTGGGCACGAAGCTCCGGGTTCGTCAGTTGGTTGGTGGCTTCATTCAGAGCCCCGAAGACGACCCAGGCTGCTCTTCTTTTCTTGCTAAGTTCTTGCCTCAAATTGTTTTCCATGTTAATCGAACGTCCAAGACGTCTTCATGATAGGCATGCGTTGCCAGTTCATTTCTGCATCTTCGCAAAGGGCGTTCTTCATGAACTGAGTCTTCTTACGATTTATTCACAATCCGATCTTCTTCTCTACCTCGCTCAGTTCCTTCAGCATCGTCTAAGCTAAAGTGATACCGCTCGAAAAAAAGATGTCGTCCGCAAAACGAAGGTTCGACAGGAATTTCCCATCAACTCGTATGCCTCTCTCGTCCCAGTCCAGTGACTCATCACCCATTGCAAGGTCGCCGTGGACGGCTTCAGCGAGGTTGTCGCCTTGTCGGACCCCTTCCCAACTGGGATGTTTACGGGCGATGGAATAGCTGTGTGCTTGTAGCAATCGGCTAACGTCCCCACGTAAGCTGGGTCCACTCCTTGATCGACTAGTGCTGACAGAATGGCATCCGTTTCGACGCTGTCGAAGGCTTTCTCATAGTCGACGAGGGTTAGGACGAGAGGCAGTCGGTATCGCCGGCAGACTTCTATGACTCTCGAACCCGTCTGGATGTGGTCCATGCAACTTCCCTTGCGGAATCCAGCTTGTTCTTGGGCCTGGACTTCATCCAGTGTCTTAGATATGCGAGCGAGGATAATCTTTGTGAAAAGCTTGTGCAGCACACTCGGCAGGCATATTGGACGGTAATTCCGAAGATCATCCCTTTTACCCTTCTCAAAGAGAAGGACGGTTTTTGACATTCTTCACTGGTCGGGAATCCTTTCCTTCTGAAGGTAAGAAGCTATGTGCGACGCGAGAATCTCGTGTAGACGTATGCGTTATTCTCCGGCTTGTAGAAGTTCGACGGAAAGTTGTCTGGTCCTGGAGCCGTGGACGTTTTCATGGCATCGGCACAGGTGTCGATGAGCGAAAGAGGTTGGTATAAAAGTCTTTCGCGATAGATTCCATCTTATCGGGAAGAAGTTGGAGTTCCGTTTTCATTCAATAGTGCAGCCAGCGCTACGTCATATTCACAGAGGTCCCTTCGGCACTTCTTAAGACTTCGTCTTTATTCGGCTGCTTCCAGTATCTTGGCTTGCCTGTACTTCCTGAGACCCGCCTGCAAAGCTTCTGCAAATGCGTTGGCTATTAGTCGCTTAAGATGGACCGCATTCAGATCCTGCCTCAGAAGTCTTCTTCTTTCAAGCAATTCCTTGGTGGTCTTCGAAATACGTTCCAAGTTCTTCTCAGAAGTCACTGGGGCGCACTCTTCGCAGGCTCATCCTTTCAAAAGCCGGTCGTAGTCGTACGTTGGGTCCTCCTCGATAGGCCAGTCACAACTTGATATGAGCTCTTCTAACCTATTACCATCATAAACGACTTTTTTCCTTCCTGCGGCATTGTGGCAGACCTTCTTTTCCAGCTTTCGACTGAATCGTACCTTCGCTCGAAGAAGGCGGGTGATGCCACTGCAGAATGATTGATCTACTAAGAAATCAACCAAGCTCCACCTTCGGTTGGTGAGAATGTCAATTTGGGCATGATTTGTTCCATTGGGCGATTCCCAAGTCCACCGGCGATGTTCTTTCTTTATGGGATGGAATTTCCATTGAAGTCGTGCGGCGGAGAGAAGCCTAAGGACGCTTGCCGTTTTCGTTCCGGAGCCCATATCCAAACTTCGCGATCCTATATTCCTTTTCTAGTGGCATCCCGATTTTCGCATTGAGTTCGCCCACAACAAACTTGCAGAACACTTCTCGTTGCGGACGACCTCCTCACATCTTCGTAGAAAGCATCTAGTTTTGGTTAGCTGCTGATGTTGGTGTAGTTGATGATGGTCTTTCTGACGTGGAGATCGTAATCGTAGGATGGCTAGTCGAGGCGACGGGATCTCATGCGAATCGACAGGATGGGATAGATGGATGGACAACAAAACCAATGCCTCAACGTTTCGTGATGGAACCTTTTCACTACGAATGATGAGAGTCCCATCACTTATTTGTCGCACCGTCCTTCTTCCTGGACGTCGTTTCCTGCAGAGCGATGACTTGGTGCTTGATGTGCTCTGCAGCGTCGAGAAGAGCGTGGAGGTCGGCGTTCGTGGGGACTGTCCTGGCGTTGTAGGTGCAGAGCATGAGGCAGTCTCCATGGCGTGTCGTCGGGCAGATCTGTCGTTTTTGTCCAATCCGAAAGGCGTCCTGAGTACCCTGACATCGTTCTTGCTACCACCCGGCGCCGTAGGCGGGATCCAATGTGCAAAGTATATTTTCTCTTTTTGCTGACCGAGTAATAAAAATGTTTCCCCTACAAGAGCATACTTACTAGGCCTACCTTTGATTTCCACAGGGCGATCGCTGACCCGGTTGTTGAGCGGGAAGGACCGCGCCTAGCGACCGGAAAAATTCAGATGGCGGTGGATCTGGCCTGGCCGGCTCTTAGCTAGGCATCCGGCCGAAACCGGAAACGTCGAACTCCTTCACAGCTTGGGAGGCCCTGCCAGAGTATACACTTGGCTGTGCAACGCAGTTCGACACCCACTGCCACCACACGCTACGTTGAAGTTGCCGATCATTGTGGGGAGCACGTAGGAAGATATACAAATTCGAGCCTATTCGATAAGTGGAACCTTGGAAGAGTGTGCGTCAAATGGATTCAAGCGACTTTTGACCTGCTAAGATGGGTTGTTAATTGGATATATTGCTAGTTTGTGGATTTGTACAACAAGTACTCAGATAATCGCCGGGGGCAGGCGGCCATGCGAATTTTGAGCAAGCGGGCACCGGAGAAATACTTCGCTGATTTCTTGCGGTCCGCTTGCAGAAATTTGAAGAAATGTTGGCCAATTTTAGAGGAATGCTCGGAAAAGTATCGTGGTT